ATATATATATATTATAGACAACTTTAATTGCGGAGATTCATGAACCAACTTTATTTTCTGGTCTCAAGAATTTTTTTTTGAAGGTTCAACCAACCCTGCTTTGTCTGTGTTACTAATTTGAAACCTTTCTTCTTCTAATCTTATAAGCTCCTTTTTGCTGTGACTAATTGATTTTGTTGTAGCTGTTGTGACCATTCGTAGTTCTGTAATGTCAACTTTTGATAAAATTAAACTCATTTCAGCAGTGCTTACAACGTGGATTCATTTTATTTTTCTAATAGAACAATGCAATCAGGAGAGCTGATATGACGAGAAGGTTGGTGGAAACTATGTACCCTATTTCAAAGTCTACTAGTATTTGGGACCGGATCTCAGGTGTGTGGAGCTGGATCTTGAATTATTTTGGGCTAGCAAAAAATAATATAAAAGCAGACGAGCTTGGTTTTGATCTTTTCGCCTCTCCTTGGCATCTATGGAATTTAGACGATAGTGAACTCATTATTATTAGTCGCAGGTAATCTGTGACAACTACTCTCTTCTGTGTCTGCTGTTTCTCACAGCACAAATTTATTGTGTTTGTGCTGTCAAATCTTAAGAGTTTTTCCTTGGTGGTTGCGTTGGGATTATAGCTTGTTTTTCTCGTGTATTTACATAGCTATTTACATAGCTCACACCTATCACACCTAAACTTTCATATTTACTCGCATAGCACTCAAATCTTTAATATGACATCAAAAGTAGTACTATTATCACTTTTTAAAAGTTAAATGCACTTTTTCTTGAATAGGTTTATATGTAAATATGAAAGCTTAATTCTGAGATATATAAATACATAAGAATTATGTGCTGTGAATACCCCCCCTTATGACATAATAGTGAATCCGTTACTTTTGAATGTAAATTACTAATGTGGACATATTTGCCATTAGGGACCTGTAAGCTTCATTCTTTGATTAGAATCATCATTGTTTAAATACAGAATATGTGAATTTTCATTTTTTTTTTTTTTTTGTCGGTGATGGAACGTTTTCCTTTCAAGATATGGTTGCTCATGGAGCACAATTAAATTTTTTGGCTTATGTTAGTATTTTGACAAATCTATGAACAACCTTACCCTGCTTTTATTTGCTTTCAAAATCAAGTTGGGCAGTAGACAGGCCATGCAACCCAAAGTTACAGTTGAAATAATTTGGTTTCAACATGAATCTTTGAAAATCCAAGTTTTAGTCCACAACGATGGTTTGTTTTCAGGTTTCATTAGGGTTAGGCAGTGTTTTCCCAACTGTTGAGCTGATTTGATTTTTTTTGAATGGGGGCGGGGGAAGAGTGTGAGAGAGATGAGAGCAAGCGTACGTAGTCTCTATTTTTGTCATTTGAAATTGTACTGATGGAAATTATGGTGATGTGGATCTATAAGATAGAATATGAAACCTCACTTGTAAATCTTTATTGTTGATTCTAAGTTCAGTGAGAAAAGGTCGAAAGTTGATGCGAGGTTGATAAAAAATAGTAAAGTTAATGCCAAAATTAATGAAATAAATTTAAATTTCAGTTTTTCTGTAGTTAAGCTGCTCCACAGAGGCCAAGCCCCATAATCAAACATTTTTTGATGAGAAGTATGGGCTTTCTTTAAAAGCAACACTAATACCATAATCCGTCCCAATCGCGATTAAAACTAGGCTAGAGTTGGCTAGGATGTTACCCTTAAGTAATATACTGTACTTAAAAATGGATTGTTGTATAATATAAACAAGGGTTGTTTGATCTAAAACTAAAATTAGATTTTTTGACTTTGAATTGTAGAAATGATAGTTAGTTGACACAAAATGTTGAGAAATAATATTACCTGTTTAGAGAAAACTAACTTGAATGAAGAACAATCGATGGTCGTTAAGCATGGTTATTATTTATATTATGTAGATTAACATGCTTCTTACTACTTCTAAGGCTAACTGACCGCTAAATTCTGCTACTTGCACTTTATTCACCAGGATTTATGTTTGTAAGTTTTCAATTGCCATTCTACGCAACTTGGCTTAGATAACTAGTTTATTTTTCTCTGTGAATCTGTATCTGGGAAATTTCCATTAATCCTCCTAATATTGAACCAAATTTGTAGTTTTGCAGTAGCATGGACCATGAGCATGAAAACATGGAAACTCAAAGAGGTTATCAGAGGTTTGCTCATACCTTAGTCTTGATCCACCTCCTCTTCCTTCATGCTGATTATTGTTCCCATTTTGAAGGATTCCATAACATCTTAGAGAGATATGGAACTTTGATAGAGGAAAAGCTTTCGTGCTTGAGAGATGGGTGTTTTCCATTAGTTTGTTCAGAGAAGATTTCCTGTGCTGATTTGATGTCAGCAGTTGCAAATATTCATGATGATATTATCACTTATGACACTGGTGCAAACTTTGCTTCATCTTCATGGTTATTGGATTTCTCCTCACTTTCTTGGATTTTTATTAAGAATACTGATTTGGAGTCATTTTCCTTCTTGTGAAGTTGGTCAGAGCCTGGTAAAATGTAGTAGGAAATCTATGCGTTGTTCCCAGATTCATTTCTCAAATATGGGCGTCCTTGGTGTGCCATATTGGTTATCTTGCCCTATTGAAAGAGTTTTTAACAGGCCAGTTTTAAAAAGGTTTCTTAACTTTTTCCATTTAGTGGTGGAAGTCGTTATGCAGCTCTCTTCAGGCTAAGTTTTTTTTGTTGTTTTATTGCTGCAGTGGTCGCGATTTAAGACGGTCAATTGAACATGTCCGTAACTTCAGTGTGCTTCCAGGTATATAATAATACTTCTTTCTGTTCCTCCTTGCATTTAAGCTGATATGATCTTCATTCTTATAATTTATCTCTCATGATATTTTGCGATTTCAAAATTTGTTTGCTTCACTGCTTGGTAACATGGCCTCCAACGGTTTTTCATTTTTTTTATCTAATAGCAAGGCTGTGTCCATATATTTAAGTATTTAGATAGTAAAGTGTTTATATCATGTTAATCGTTAGGAAGATTTACGTATATACCACTCAATTCTTATGTATTTACATATCAAACACTTAAAGGTGTATTTCACCTTTTAAAAGTTAAAATAATGGTATTTTTTATGTGATATGAAAGTTTTGGGTGGTATAAATTTAAAAAAGGTAAAGTTTAGGTTTTAGAAATGTATATAGATAGGAATTTTGTGGTATGCATGTAAATACCCCAACTTGTTAATCGTAATCATTTCCGTCAGTTGCTTTATTCCTACTATTTATGACTTGTTTAGTGAACCTCCACTCCATTTACTCCTGTTGAGTTTTACATTGTCCATAAACTCTTGTTTATGTTTTTAGATAGTTTCTAGTCATTTTACTTTTGGTACTCTTTTTCTTCCCAATTCTATGCATTTTATGTGCCCCAATCATTGCAGTCTATCTTCGACATCATTTGTTTACTCTTTTTCTTCACATTATTCTATGTTGTTTAACTCGACATTTATCCTGATACTTGTTTCTTCTATGCTCAACATGTCTATATATATATATATATATATATATATATATATATTTCTGATTGCAACTTTATAGTGTTTGTATCTTTAAAACCTAAAGCAATTTCAAACACATGCTTTTTATTAATGCTAGCAAAAATGCTCCTAGTCAATCATTTGATAATCCTTTAGCATCATGTTCATTATGTGTTTTTGTTATATTAAAATCACATTTTAGCAGATATGAAAATGACTCGGAGGGATATAATTATGAGTAAATTTTGATGACTAAAAGCTCTAATGTTGTATGGGCCCAGTATTGGCGAGCAAAAAAAAAAATCCTCGCTTTTAGAATGTTTATAAAAACGAGTACGTTGAATTCGTAGTGAAATTTATATAAATAAAGTATGAAAAGATGTGAATTATAGAAAGCAACAATTTGCTGCTTCATGTGAGGGTTTGCAATACAGAAGCTGCTCCTAGTAATTGCAAAGCATATTGGTTGAATTTTGATAGATTCATCAACTCAACAACAATGGAAGGATTCCTAAAGCCATGACTCAATGAGTCTTTGTTATTAGTAGGGGCAATTAGATACATACCACCCAATTCCCATCTATTTACTTTTCTAACACTTGAACTTTACTTTTTACATTTATATCACTCAAATTTTTATTATCACATCAAAATAACCACCATTTTAACTTTTAAAAAGTGAAATACATCTTTTTATGCATAGGTAAAGTCGCATACATGTAAAAATTGAAGTATAGGTGTTAGATATGTAAATGCATAAGATGAAGTGGCATGTATCTAAATCTTCCTTTTTAGTATACCAATTGCACTGCTTGATGTTTATTTTTTGTTTTAATTAACTAAACATATATTCCTTGCAATATAGGACGGTGTGATGTAAGGGTAAATGTAGAAATACCAAAAAACACTGTATTAGCGGCACCACTGGATGAAAGCTGTATCTGGCGTCAAGCAAGAGGATCTGCTGCCGAGGTTTCTATGTTTGAGAAAGGTGACTCACTTGAAGAGAAGGTATCACATTAAAATCTGCAACTTTCCTCCATGATACCAAAGGGCTGATTATTTCATGCTGTGTTTTTCAATAATTTGTCGCTGTTGAAGGTTGGTGTTGCTCAGCAATGGTTTGATGAGTTGGATAACCTTGCCTTTGCAAATCCTGAATTTGAAAGCCTGGAATCTAGTGATGAGGTTGATGTTAAATCTGCAAACAAAAGTTTCGAAGACACGGGGAAGGTTCATTTTAACTGTGCTGTCAATGTTAGCCCTGGTACTAGTGAGGTTAAGTTAGTGGCCTTTTTACTTCGTCTTAGCCTTTGTTTGGGGACTTATTTTTCGTAACGCCGCATTTTTGCTTGGCTACAATTTTCTTGCTGCTGCTTAGAAAAATTGTGGTGTGAATGACTTTTTGAGAACCAAATATACTGGGGCTTTTACATATCAACCACCCAAAACTTTAACGTTTTGGCCACAAACTTAAAATGTTTCAACCATATAAAATTTTATTTCCTTTCGAAACAGAAGTGGCCAATCCTTTATATTTAAAGTTTTGGATGATTTTTTGGGTGGTTGAAATATTAATTTTGAATCCGTTATACTTAAAGTTTTGGGTGGTTGATATATGAAAATCCCAAAAAAAAAGTTTTCTCACAACAATTCTTCAACTACTTTTACATGGTTGCAGCTGCCCCAGACAAGCCCCACAATTTAAATATTGTCTGAAAGTTGATCAAACATCTGCTATTTTGGTGCAGGTAATTGTTTCCGCAGCTCTTTATTTGAAGCCAAACCCAGCATTAAGTTTCGAAGAAGCAGCGAGTTTGCTAAATTCACAGAATCATGAAAATAGAATGCTAGAGAGAGAATCCTTCAATTTATTTCTTAAAAAATGTGGGCAAATTTCCGACATAATCTTCACAAAACCGTTGCATCTAAGAATAAAGTTGGATTGTGGAGATCATCCCGCCGCTCCTACTACGAAAGAAACCATCTTGACGGACACCAGATTAGAGTTGAATGTGACTTTAGAATAATAAGGCAAATTTACATGCATACCACACAATTCTTATGTATTTACTCATCTAACACCTTAAATTTGATATTTACATTTGTGACATCTCGGTGTCATAAAAACACGCATCAAAAAGCTGAATTTCCGTTTTAAAAAGATAGTAATTGTGATATTTTTTATATGATGTCAAAGGTATCAGCCATATGCATGTAAATATCAAACCTCATATGTTAGATATCTAAATACATAAGAATTATGTGGTATGTTCGTAAATGCTCCGAAGAAGAATGGTTCCTCAGGCGCTTAATGTAGTTCGTTCTTTTTCTCTTTATTTATTCTTTCTCCCCTTATTTTTGAGGTGATTATTGCAGACTTTAGGTTTTAGGTCTTGTTTAGTGTTTATGAACCATTAATAATATTCATGACATATTTAAGATTACAATTTGTCTTATTGGAGTTAATACTGTATTTGTCAAACAGAAAAGAGTATGCATGTAGGCGTGCAATTACACAAATAAGTTATATTGAGATTCTTTTCATAAGATTTTTATTTCATAAGTTATATTTAGATTCTTCTTTTTCTTTTAATTTGTTTTATTTGTTCCTTTGGAACTAACAAATCTTATAAAATTCCTTTAAAATAAAATACAAACATTTTTTGATATATTTTTCAATATTTGCTCCCTTTTTTTTCTCTATATTCATACTCTTCCACCAATTATTTAATTTAGAGGAAATTTTCCAAGAGGAACACCAGGTTTAATCATATAAAAACTAAATGGAAAAGCTCTATAACATAATAATTTAAAAAGTAGGAATAGCATACATGATGCTAATAATGCACGATAATATTTTAATTGTAGCATCCTTAGGTAATATCAGACGGGGTCGACCTTTTCATGAATATGCAAATCTAAGGGTGATGTGATTAGTTTCAAAATCAAGAAGAAATGTTTTAGGACATAAGTAGGTAGGTACCCTCCAATAATGTCACAACAATCTAAGCCACTTCCTTGATGTACAAATCCCAGCCTGCTACATTTGAAGTTTAAAATCATGGGAAGTTTAATAGAATCAAGTAGTTTCTTTGATGCATCAAAATGACTTGTTGAATAATACATAAAAAAAGTTTTCTTTAGTTTTTTATTTATTTATTTTTATTTTTTATTTTTTTTTCCAACTTTGTAGTTTAAAATCAATGCATCGGATTGATGATGCTTGTTTTATTTCTTTTTGTGCTCCATGCTTAGAATCTATCTTCAATGATCTCTCTCCCATTCCTCCACAGCAAACTCGTTTTCTATGATTTAACCTCTGGAGAATACATAGCACCCTAACTCAACATCCCATTATATATGGCTTCATGTATCACAACATAATAAATCATCCTTCCTACTTTTAGACCAGCTCCTACAAAACCCAAAATTGAAGTTCACATCAACCTTTCATTTTAGACCAGCTCCTACAAAACCCAAAATTGAGTTCACATCAACCTTTCAACTCTATTAACTAATCCTCAAAAGTACACCGTTACATTCTATTCACAAATTATCTATTTTTGGTCTCATATCATATTAATTTGTACACAATTTGTTTAATCATATGTAGACTTTCATTGTTTCTTTCATTATACTTTGAGTGTTATTGGTTATATATATTGGTTTAGTCTTGAGGAGATAGACATTTTGAGTGTTATAGGCTATTGCAAACTCCATCGGACTCTTGGAGCAAATAACTAGACCCAGGAAATATGGCTTACTTGAAGAAGGTTTATTGGTCATCCAATCTTGGGTTGAATGGACCAGCGCCCTGGCCTTCACCTCATTTATCAAGGTAATGTGACCTTTTATGTCAAAGCCTTCTTGGGCAAATACTTTCACAAGGACAACAGTTGAGGCTACCTATGTTCCCTCATTCTTCTTCTCTAACCTTCAACTCTTTGAGTGAGCTACTGTAGTGACTTTCTCCTCTACAAATGCTTTTTTTTTCTTATTAGCATGATCTTAGGTTGGGCAAGGGCCCTAGGAACTGTTGTGGACTCATTAATTGAAAGAGAAATTTTACGCTTCGTGCGAGTATGTTCTCTCATGAGGAAGGATAAAGGAAGCTTATCTTCTTCATCATCATTATTTTCCAACGTGATGATGATTGGTGTTGTCAAGCTTGAAGATTTGACAGCTTTGTAGCCTCCTTATGAAGGAAAAATTAACCTCGACTCCCAATCCCCGAGTAAGGTGAGGGGAGGCCTTGATGTTTTTCCTAAAATCATGATAAGAAGAACACTATGCCACATATTTGAAGAACTCGATAATGACCACCCATAATCGACAAAAGGATTGAGCAATCACTAAATTACACCCTTTCAAACAATCCAATGTGGTGAACACCTTCACATCAAGAGTTTATTTTCTGGTACACTAACAACCTCGTTAGGGATAATTCATTGATACTAAACACCATCTCTTCTAAATAGGGTTAGAGTGAAGTGTGAATCTCCCTGACACCCATGTTTTGAGGCCATACATCTTCACCTTAAAAGGGACAAAGGGCATTATTCCATTAGTAGAAACCTTTACTCGAACAAAGTTCCAAAAATGTTCAGCAACTATAATAACTTTTAAATCTACAAATACAGAACCAGAGACATTATAATTGATATTGCCTTGGGATAGATTTGAGTGATTACCAACCCAAAGGAAGTTTGTAATATCCATCAGTTCCTCGCACAAAGGGAAGTGTATGTCTGGCCTACACTAATCATAATAACCACATATGTCATCCACATAGATGATATTTGGCATTTCATCATCTATAACCAGCTAGAGAGTCACCGACTCATCGATGTCTGCTTCACTTATAGATCATTCAAAATATGGGAGTCATATGAAAAAGTCTGCATGAGCGTTGAGATAAATTATTATTTTATCTTCATTCCCTTCAGTTGCTTCTTCAAAGTTGAGACTTTGTTCTCCATTTCTCAAATCATTGTGCAGTCCTTCTCTCATGTTTTCTTGTTTGGTCTTCAGTGATGATGAATTTTATTTTTAATTCTTTTGATAGCTCCATGCACTTATTATTGATGCCTTCTCAAAAGAATTCTAAATTCAACTCACCGCGTCTCATAGAGCAATGTTGCAGATTTGTTCTTCATTCATCTCTCCAGACAAACTAATTTAATCCTCTTCAACTTCCTTCAAATGCATGTCACAAATGGTATCCCATCACACTTCTTCTTAAGACTTGGCTTGTAGCTCATATATCTCTTTTTGAAAAGCTTCCATCTTAGCCTGAGCCTCCTCGGGCTGCTTGCCCATGTCTCTCACATTCCTTCCTGCTACTTTTTTAGCAAACAACTCTTCCAGTTCCCTAATCAAGGAGCAATGTGATTGGCTCATCGTGAAGGCAAACTTCCAGGAGTAGGTCATTCTATCCAGAATGAAAAGTGAAAATATTGTTTCTTAAAGCTCAATGGTGTCCCCTCAAAATCATTGAACATATCTTTGGACATAGGTGGTTGGCTTTTCTGGAATAAGTTTCATCACCCTAATATTTCTATGTCATGTCAATCACGACCTTGATTGGAGTTTCTTGATTCTACATGACACATGGGTGAGTGGTGCAAGTCACCTCGCACTGACGACATAATAAGGAAGAATCATCTTTTTCTTCCTCTTTTATGGATAGAAAACCTATCGCGGAGCCGCTCTCCATTAGTAATGGCCCAACAACATCTACACCAAGGACTATCATCAATGTTGAGGGCTTCTTACGACTAGTATCACTTGATGTGGAAAGAGTTAGAAACACCTAAAGGCATTCATATAATAAACTGCCAAGGGGGCTTGTGTCCTCACTAAGTCACATGTATTCAAGAGTAATAAGATCTATAATATACCACAGGATGATGCAAGGAACTTATTTTTGCTTAGTAATTGGTCAAAAGGTAATGGACTTACCCAAAGCATTAGCACTCAATAATTTTTTAAGAGTCTGCATTATGAGATTCGATATATCACCAATATATGATTGTAGTCCTATGGGAATATTTCAATTTCTCTTGTTGCGAGTAAAACATAATTTCTTCCTCCAATCTCTAACCTTATTCTTAAGAACAACCATCCTCACCTTTCTCATGAAAATGTCATTTTACCATCAATATACGCCTTCAATGTGAAAATGTATCAGAAGATATACATGTAGCAATGCAACTTTTTTGACAATGAGTACATGATCATGACCATCATATTCATAATAAAGTTCATCTTGAATTGAGCCGACACCATCCCATAAAAGTTCAAGATATCCAACTTCTCTTCGCACTGAGGGCAGTGGAGGCCCAACCAAAATTGACCTTAATAACAACATATTTCATATTCATTCACCCTTACGAGGGCCCCATCTTCCTTTGGAATTCATTGTATCATCATATTGTCAAAAATATAGTTAGACTGGACCCCTCAATGCCCTGTTGTCCATCTTCGACTTCTTTTGGAACATCATTGCCAAAAATGACACACGACTTTTCTCAACACCAGTGGCCATTATTGACAATAGAAGGGGATTACTATGGGCAGCTATGGTGTTAAATGGGGGGTTACACTTCCAAAAAGGAGAGAAAGTCAAGTGAAAGATTAAAGTAAAAGAGCAAGTATCTTCCTTGATAAGCATCACAAGGACACTTATACCCATTGGTGCATGAGCCAAAATTGAAAAAGAAATGTATCTCAACAATTTATTTGTTCTCTCTAATTAAAAAAAAAAAAAAAAAAATCAATCAAATAGAAAAATACTTAACAATGAAAAATTATTAATCAAACTAAAACCATAATTAGTTCAAATCCATATCAACATCACACAAATATGTTTGACTGATAATTACACATAAAAAAATGTATCATTACAAATCAACACTCAAAACTATGGAAAAAAGAAAAGTTAATCTTGATTCTTTAACTTATCTAAATTGATTATTGCATAATAGAGGATACGTTGCAGAACCAACTATCCTCCAGATAAAAACTAGCTTGATTGATCCAATTCAGGGTATTATTGGACAAGTGCGTGTCTTATCTCCATTTCTTTTAACAAACACTGACTCCTCAGAGAGTCCCTCAATGCTGTCGCTAACCTCACTTCCAAATTAGGGAATTGCTCCCTCATCCTTGGATCAACGATGATTTCCATATCTTATACATCAACAATTCACTTCCTTACGTTATGCAGGTTGCCATTCATATTAGCCAACTCCTCCCTGAGATCTCACCACAATTTGTTTCCATTTAGATATAATGTGTGGCTTTTTTCCCAAAGATATCCTCGAAGGATATGCCCTTTAATTCCTATAAGATAACCAAAAAAATCACTCTATCATCCTGCTGATCGACAAACACATCTATATTCCAAAAAAAAAGTATTACATGAAATCTTATTAGTCCTCATAAACACACCAGATTCAACTTCAATACTAAAAAAATGAA